TGATAAATGCAGACGGAGATTTGACCTGGTTTGCCCTTACACTGTTTCTTATCTAAGTTACTCCCCCTTTTCAATTTGTTTGTCTGGTTTTGACTTGACATGGAATTTAAGAAGGTAAAGAAAACTTTCGAATCTTGTGGTCTTAAATTAAAGATATGTAGAATGTATCAAAATGCCCTTTAATCCTGTGGTTTTGAACATGCTAGGTAGAAAGTTAGAATTAAAGAGTTGCCAAAAAAGGGAAGAGGCATTTTCTTAAAATGGACTAAAAAGGAGAGTAAGACAAAAATTGAAACGGAGGGAGTATATGATTTACCATTCTAGCCTTTTGGTGCATTTATGTGGCGTTGATGCGAATACTCCTTCAGTTCCCAAAACAAATGATGGGGTTTAGAGTACGAGGGTCAAAATATACTTGGAGCTTTTTTGCGGCGTTATACCATGTTCCTTTTTAACATTTTCAGTCTTAATCTTTGAGTTCTTATCCTTTGCTGGATCTTCAGGGAGATGCAGAATATTTAAGATACCGTGGGTTGCAAGAATTTGACCGGGCTATGCAGTATCTTGAAGATAAATATGAGGTATATATTTATATTGTTCCTGCTTTCTCAGTTTTGTGCTTCTCGATTTCCCGTACCAGTAGTTCTCATATTTTTGGAGGAATTTCGGGTCTATGTTCTAAGCATCTTCATGTAGTGTCTTTTACTATCTATCTAAATACAGTTTGCTGAAAATGCTTGGCCATAAGCCATAATGATTCAGTCATTTACTGTGCTGGCTGATGAGAAATTGAGAATTACTTTCCAATTATGTTAGTCCGGTAGATGTGATATCATTTGAGAAAATGCAGTGAAAGTTTTGAACTTGTAGAAACTTTTTGTAATAAAAAGTAGCTACCTACCCTAATTACCAAAGTCTTAACCAGCCATAACTAGTTAATTGGTCTAACAGTCGGTTCGAAGGTTATAAAATTCATAATCCTTACCTTGTAGCTTGAGCTTTTAGTCTTTACCCTGTTTGGTGGGGGGGGGGGGGCATTTGGATGTA